AACGATGTTATACCGCCACTTGGATGGAATATCAAACTATGAGGAGAAGAAGCTGTCTAATAACTCCTATCCCCACCCCACGTCATTTTTTTGAATTGGTTTCACTGTTTGTTGTCAATTCGTGGTGTGACATAACTACAAATCAATATCACTGACTGACTGACTGGTTTCAACATAGAACTTTGCACTGATGTGCAGCAGTTCAAATCGCCATACTCCCTCTATGTAGCACACAAAGCAAGAGAAGAAAGTAAAAAGAAATGCAAAATAGAGACAGTAAACAGAGATATGAGGCAATAAGAATAATAATATCGAAGAACAATATAGTTTCATTGGAAATTATAAGTCACAAGAAGTGGATGCATCTGCTACACTTGGGACGATTTTGAGCCATATCACCAATTGTCTGCAGCCTTCTTTTACAGGATTTTCATCATGAGCTGACATTAGTTAGAGAACCATTGGAAAACCTGCAGGGAGTACTGGACAGCTGTTTCATCCTAGTTTGGGACTCTTCAGGAGTACGCACCCACCGGGGTTCGAACCCAAGACCTTCCGGTTACAAGGCAAGCTGGCTCGTATACCATTAAGCCACTGGGACCCGATCCAATGACCAGGCCATGAATTCTAACTTCTGCCAATTCACGATATAGCGCGACCCCTAGCCAATATCTTCGCGAGTATTTGTCCTCACACGACTTTTCATTGGTGTTTACCGTCCCGAGGACCCCAACCAGGAAGTCTACACCTTCCTACGTGGTTTAAATCAATATCAGAGAATCGGCGTTTCAAAAACACATTGTGAAACAAAATGTGATAGGAAATATCACTGGACACTTATTAGTGGTAGACTCTAATAGCAATTACACGGTAGATTTTGCTAGCGGAATTGTTTATTTGGAGAAATGATGTACAGATATGCTAAATTACTCTAATTTTACGTTGAAATTTACATTTGTGCATGTTCTCTCGGTATTGTGCTTCTTTGGCCTAACTGATTCCAGCGATTCAGGGATTAGCTTGTTACCAGGAAATAACCTCGTTGTTGACTTAGAAATATGCAGACGATGTAGTCCTTCCTGCCGAGGTGAAGACGCTGACAAAATGCAGAGTCTTCTGGACATCTTGAAGAGCAGCAATCTTCGAATGTTTGACACGCGTTTCGGTCCAGTCAAATGTAAGATGATGCTTCAGGACTAGACAGGACTACATTGACTCACTCCTAGCTTAAAGATAGAGAGTGAAGTGGTTGGTGAAGCGTGTTGACCACTTAACTGATTTAGGAAGCTTCATCAGCCCCAGAGAATGGATTTTGTGACGAAATCTCAGCGTGGATTCAGAAGGCTCGTTTGCAAATGCTCGCCACCTTGCACCACCTCTGGTTTAGTAAACGTGATATCCGGCTTTCGACCAGAGAACGTGTATACTGCATAGCACCAGTTCGCTCCGTCTTCCTTTATGTCTGTGAGTGAAACATGACCATTGAAAGTGGAAAACAAGTAAAGGTTAGCTGTCTTTCATCACAGGTATCTGCGTCCTGTGTCCCGTGTTAGATGGTATAATAGAGTGAGTATTATTGAGGTTAGAAAATAGCTAGTGGTGGTCAAACTAAAACATTGCATCAATCAATGAAATCCATAACAGCTAGTTTAAGCCAGTTAGCCATGTAGCGAGGTGCAGACTGCCTGATTGGTTGAGGTCCTGTGGACGGTAAGTACCAATGAAGGTTATAGGGAATTGGTGATATGGCTCAGAATCCTTCTCAATGGGATTTGTTATATGCAATAAAACCCTTTTTCCTCCATATAACTATTGTTTTCCCTCACTCACACTTCTGTTTATTATCTCTTTCCTTTTTGAATCTCTCTTTACTCTCTTCTCTTGCTTTGTGTGCTACATGGGGGGGAGTGGCAACTCGAAGTGCTGAACATCTGTGCAAAGTTCTATGTTGAAACCAGTCATTCAGTTTCTTTGGTCTTCCCTTCATGTTTTCTATGTATATTCTTTCACAAGGATCTTCAATTGCTCCTTATTAGTTTGTTCATTAGATGTATCACACAGTGAAACAGTATTATTTACTGGATGACGTTTCGAACAAAATTTATTGTTTATAATCATATCAATTACAGTCACACGGCTTCGAAACTTGAGTTTTATAGTTTTCTTTGTTCTCTCCTATTTGTCGTTCGGGGTAGTAGAATTCTCCAGATCTCCACCTGGACAGGCTTTGAATCATTCCTATTACACGTGTTGGTTCGCAGTTGATTCGATAAACAAAGCTTCTGTTATCAATCTCTCCCTCCACCCAGCCAGTTACATTAGATTTTAAAACTGTCATCTTATCCCATCCATCCTATTGTATGGTTGTGTGTAATTGCATGTAGTGAGTGGCATAGCTGAACTATTCTCCAGATTTCTTATCTTATTTGGGTGAACCAATCTAGATTTTGCTAAGTTTTTATGTTCAGCTAGTTTGACTGCCCCTGTTCTACTAGTTTGACCTATGTATTTGACATGATAATCATTGCAGGGTATTAGATAAATTAAATTGTTTTGTTTTATTGGCTCCACTGGCAGGATCCTTTAACCGACAAAGCTTGTTTCTAATTGAGTTTGTGGGTGGTTTATTCCCGTCTGCATTGTTAAAGATTCCGAGGTTCTTTCTTTGCATGGAATTACTAGTGATGATTTAGATTCCTTATTGTTGGTGTTGTCTTGCTCATATTTGACATGCATATCGTCATTAATAATAATAATATTATTATTATTATTATTAGTAGTAGTAGTATCACTATCACTACTACCATTATTTATTTTATTTTTACATTTCTCTACATACTTCCGGATTAATTTATCAGGGTAATTATTAAGTTTCAAGGCTTCTCTTATATGTATCACTTCCTGTCTTAGATTTTCCTTGGTACTACTTAGTTTTTGTACTCTGTTACTTAAACATTTCACTAATCTTATTTTTACTGACATAGGATGGGATGATCGAAAGTCCAAATATCTGTTTGAATGTGTGGGTTTCCTGTAAACACTAGTGTTTAACTTCCCATCTTCTTTCCCTTTTACGCGGCAATCTAACATTGGGAGCTCCCCTTCCTGACTTACCAATTCATAAGTGAATTGAACCGCCTCTACCTTTGAGTTAATGTGTTCGAAAAATCTATCTATATATCCTGCGTTCTAAGTACAGTGAATGTGTCATCTACATACCTCCGCCATACTTTTGGGGTGGGGCTGAACGTTTCAATAGCTATGTTTTCCCACCTATCCATGAATATATCTGCCACAACCAAAGCCCACTTAACTTGGTGATTAGGCCGTTCTTAACACCGCCGCAACTAGCGAGGGGAGAATATAACTCTTAAGGCTTCTAGCACCACAACACCACCTCTGAGCTCTTGTTCATTGAAAAATATAGTGACCATCATGTGTTTCTGAATGATATTACTACCCACTGCATTAGAGCTTTGGTTGCCGCTGGAGACATCATTATAACCACTCCCTCAGTGTTCGTGGCTGTCGTCTGGGTGGCCGGAGTAGATTATTGACTCTCCATTTGACAATTTTGATAATCCACATCCGTCCCATCTGCTTTCGCAGATACCCATCACTTGTATGCCAGCGGGATTTTAGCTCAGAACCTTCCGGTTACAAAGCGAGTCACCAACATGCGATCCAATGGTCCCAGGAATTCTAACCTCTACTGATTCGCGATGCATATACCGCAACCATCAAAAAATGTCATACATAGGAGAGTTACAGTTCCCTCTTAGCTGAGTTTTTGCAACCCAGTAGTCACCATCTCAGGTAACTTCCTGTATAGAAGCAGTTGTCACGAACTAAGACGAAACTACTGTCCAGTCCTCCCAGCTGGTTCTCAGCAGTGATTCTCTAGCTCATGTCAGTTCATAATCAAGCCTGTAACCAACCAACCAATCAAATCCCTGCAGAATAACACTTGAAAATCGGTATTGTTCCAATTTCTTTGTTGTTATGTGTTAATCAACAATTTTTTTAATTTGCAAAAGAGAAGACGTTCAGCGAAGAGACTCATTTCGCCGGCGAATTCATTCACATAGCTGTACAATCGCATTTATATATAATTATTTGTGTGTGTGTGTGTACATGAGGTTTGTCAAGTTTAGATAATTGATCAGGTAATACAAGAATGATCTAATATAGAAACAAGGTTAATTAGACAGCAACTAAAGTAAGATTGAGTTAGTTAGTAAGTTAGATAACAACGTAATATAATTGACTAAAATGTTTCAACTTAGGTCAGAGCAGCAACAGAGGTAATTACAGGTAGAGACTGAGTAGAAGTGGAGTAGAGAGTAATACCATTTAAATTAGAACTGATATTGTGCAACTAAGTTGGATGACGTAACATAAATGACTAGAAATTGAGCGTTGGTCAAGTCAGTAACAGTGTAGAAATTAAATCGGGTGGGGGTAGAGAACAAGAAAGTTGAAAATGTAAAATATTACAATTGAGAAGACAAAATAATACTAATGAAGAGACAGAATAAAAGATTAGGTAGAATTTACTTGTCGGGTAATAAGATAGATTACGTCCATTGCAAGTGTAGTGAGATTGAACGAACTTCTTCTGTATGCAGAGTTCAGAACTTAGCAAGTGATTCGCCATTGCTTCTGCAGTTTGAAGAAGTCTGATTCGTACACCTTTAGGGAGACTCTTCGTATCTGTAGACGACTTTGAATTTTGTTTGGAGGGTGTAGCTTGTTGTCAGGATTCTATCAGATGTTCTAAGATGGAGCTGCGGGGGCATCGTTTTTCTCCTTTGTAAAACCATGTTGGTAAGTGTTCGGTGGTGTGTTACGTTTGGAAAGCGAACGCTGGGTACGGCCGACATACCTGGCACCACACGAGCAGGTGAATTGATAAATACACATTGATGAGGCCAGCAGTGGTGGTAGCTTATCCTTCACGTTTTTGTATTTTTTTTTTGTTTTTTTATTTTTGTATTTAGTTACCTCCAGAAGAATTGGCTGCACGATTAACTCTGGATGATTATGAAGTGTTTCGTGCAGTTCAGTCAACTGAGTATATTGATGAAGTGTTTGGATTGAGTAATAATGCATGCATGGATAATATGCCACCGCAACCGCCGTCGTCGTCGTCTGTTTCTTCGAATAGTACTACTAATAATAATAACAGTAGTACTAGTGGAACTTCAGTGTCTGGAAGTGGAAGCAGTATTGGTGCTGGCGGTACCGGTGGATATGCTACTGGGCATGAAAATCTGGATCGTTTCACTGACCTGGTGAATCGTGAAGCCTATTGGGCGCCTACAGAAATCTGTAATGAAAGTAATTTAAATCGACGTGTTGATTTATTGAAACGTTTTATTAAGGTAGGTAGGCGTGTGTGTTACAACATCGTGGTGTTTTTTTTTTTGTTTTTTGATTATAGCTTGACTTCACACCGTATTTTTGGTACAAGTGTGGAATTTCTGTGCATGTGATATCGGTAGCCCAATTTTGCAGGCTGACCATTGATATCGGGTGTGCGTCGGCAGGGGATCGAACCCCGGACCATGCGCGCATGGCCGGTGAGAGTCCTAACCGCTGTTTGATTCAATCGACGAGGCTATAAAGTTACATAGATTGAGATGGCTAGGTCACGTGGTGCGCATGCCTAGCCATCGCCTCCCCCAGACGGGCATTACTAGCTGATATAGGTGCAGGTTGGAAAAGAGTAAATGGTGGCCAAACAAAAACATGGCCTCATCAATCCATGAAATCCTTGACAGTTAAACTGAGTCAGGTAGGGAGGGAGATGCAGACTTCCGGGTTGGGGCCCACCCTCGGGACTCTAAGAATCAATGGTTGGAGACAATAGGTGACATGGCTCAAAATCGTTGTCAATGGCTTACGCAGATGTATTCAGTCTCTTTAACCTTCATATTCCTTTCTACCATTACTCATTCTGTTTCACTCTTATACTTGTCAAAACTCTATTGATTCTCTTCACTCATTTTCTTGTCTACCTTTGTGTGCTATTTGGAAGGTGGCAACTGGAACTGGTGCACTTTGGTGCCAAGTTCTATGTTGAATCCAGCCAGCCAGGTAGTCTATTTGATAGACTTAACTCTGTGCAGAATCATATAAGTCTTAAATTCAAGGAGAAAAATCGCAACCAACTTGCATTTTTAGACATACACATCTGATTCGGAGAGACGATGGTTCAATAAAGCGATCAATTTACTGGAAGCCTACTTGGACAGGGAGGGCAATATAAATCAGTTTTTACACAGCTTCTATCTGCCACAGTATAAGAGAGGCTTGGGGAAGTGTTGATTCAAGAGGATTCCGCGTATTTGTATAGCTGATTTCACAGAGGATGAAACTCTACAATACTGATGGGATAATCTTGTTGAAAACGCATATCCCTTAAAATTTCTAAACCGGTGTAGAAGTCAGTTAGCTTTAAAAAAACTACAATCAATTCTGTGCTTAAGAAAGATGCTTTCATTAAATTACCATACAATGGGGAAATAAATAGTGTAGACTTTAAAGACAATAATGCTTGAGTTTATTAAGTGCTTCCTCTTTTATGATTGTGTAGAAAGGAATTCCGCAGTCCATGAAGCATCGTGTGTTATAGGATGTGTGTAACCAAGTCCTATTCACTTGTTGTACGGTGGTAAATTATAGGCATTGGAGAACCTCATAGTTTGTGCGAAGGCTGGAATACTTCTGAAACGCCTAGATCGAAGTAGGTGGTTGTCTTAAGGAACCCTCGATTCAACCTTCGACTGATCCAGAAAGCGGTGTAACAACCTGATGAACACGTTCGCATAGTTTCCGGTGATGAAAATAGATTCATACGCTATGTTAGATTGTAAAATAAAATGAATAGAAGAAGGTAAACTACGCACTAGCGTTTATAAGGAACCAACACATTCTAATAGATATTTAGTCTTTAATTCATCTCATCCGTTGTCTGTTGGTGAAGGCAGGCCTAGTTAAGTGTCTAACAAACCGAGCAATAGCACTAAGTAGTACAAGAAAAAGCCTAAATGATGAAATAAAACAGATAGAAGAGGCGTTGGTGTTGAATAATTATCCTTTAAAATTCATTAGGAAGATTGAAAAAGGCCAAAAGAAAAATAAAAATAATTGTGAAACTAGTAATAATAACATAAATAAGAGAGAATATAAGTCATCTACAGTTATACCATATAAAGAGGGGACATCTGAGACCCTATGTAGGATTCTAAATAAAGCAGGAATTAGGGTGGCATTTAAACCTACAAACTCATTCAGATACAAGCTCTGTAGATTAAAGGACCCAGTTGACCCAATTGGACAAAATAATATAATTTACAAAATACCCTGCAATGACTGTGAGGTCAACTACATAGGTCAAACTAGTAGGTCAGGGGTAGTCAGATTGTCAGAACATAAGAATCTAGCTAAGGTTAGAATGGTTGACCCAGAGAAGATAAGTAATTTAGAAAAAAGCTCGGTAATTGCAATGCATGCATTAACACATAACCACACAATAGGGTGGGAGAGGGTTAAAATTCTAAAAAGTAATCTAGGTAGGTGGAGAAAGAGGTTGATTACTGAATCCTTGTTCATCGAGTGGATCTACACCCAACACATGCAATAGGAATGATTCATCACTTATACCCGAAATATGGAAGATACTACCACCAATCAAATCAAGTGAAAAACAATGGAACTATATAAATGAATTTAGGAAGTCGTGTGATTACCTTGATATGATTATGAGCAATAAATTGTGCTCGAAACGTCATCAGTAAACATTACTGTATAACACTGTGAGACTCTATCAAAACAAAATTTACCCATAATTGAATTAGATTCATACGCCTTTCGGTGCTTTTGGATTCTGGAGTCTATGTATACCATAAGTTCGGAATCATAGTTTTCCAGCTGCTCCCCCCCCTCCTAGGTAGACTAACATGTCCATCAGTTCAGTTGTAAGCTCCAGACTTGCATACTGGCTGTTTCACTTTTGTCAGGCCCACCCCCTTCCTCATGAAGGCAATGAATAGGATGTGTAACCAGCCATATAAGAACATTACAGTCCTATAGGTCGTTTAGAGTGGGTGTATGTGTGTGTGTATGCATCTGTCTTGTTCAGTTATTGAATCATGTTTATTCCATTGGATGCTTCTGGTTACAAGGCTAGCTCGTAGACCATTTAGCCACTGGACGCCGATCCAATAACCAGCCCATGAATTCCAACTTGTGCCATTTCACAACATAGCTTGACTGGCACCAACCGTTGTCATCTACGACGGGTATTTCTCTTCACATTCGATATGCTTTCTAGTGTTTCTTCAAAGGAAAGCTTTTCTTCTCTCTGGCATAGTGTTCTAATTTAACCAAGCTGTCGAAGTTTAGATATTGACCAATCCAGGTTGTTGCTTTTTTTGTGGCGAATTCTCCTTTCTATTGTTCCATCTTCTCTTCTCTTCTCTTCTTACATAACTCAAGGGAATGTAAGTTGGTTATTAACTTTCTGCTCCATCGTGAACTTGATGTTTGTGAATAGGCATTGTTGAACTTCCACAAACAGTAATTCTGCATGATGAGTAGTATCATCACATCATCTACTTTACCTTGAATATGCGTCGATGGCTTATTGGTAGAACACCGGCCAACCACTCAAATGGTCCGAGGTTCGATTCTCAGTTGGCATATACCTTTACCTCGCATAGCCCCATTCCGTAAAAAACAACACCACTGCTACTGAAACTTTGAAGCTTCTTACTTGAAGCCATATGTTCCACTGGGAACGAAAAAAGAATAAACATCACCTTGAATAAAACGTACTTGTTGTTGTCATTGCAGACAGATTTCAAGGTAATTGCTGGATGATGAGTCCCAAATGGGACGAAATGCGCGTTATCCTGGATTCTGTCACTGCTAGTCACCATTCACCAATTAACTTCGAATTACATGCCAAGACATCGCGTCGAAGTATCTGTACAAGAAGCCGACAGATATGTCAACCTGAGACACCGAGCACTTCGGTCCAATCAATCGACGGAAAAATCTAAAATTGAATTAAAAGATATTTCAAGGTAGTAGTAGTAGTGTGGTGAGGGCTGGCTGCTAGCCAAAAGTGGTAGAAAGTAATTTACGTCAATGTTCACGTTCCCAATATTGGTGGTGAGAAAATGAAAACAAAAACTGACTCAACAACCAATCACAGCAGAATTTGTTTGCGTAGGCGGATACAATTTGCAGATAGATAATCTGAACTTCAAGAAACGGCCACAAAGAGATGAAAGATTAACGTTCAGTGACAAACCACCAATGAGAAGATTGTGTTTGTTTGCTTGTTTACAATAATCTATAATAATGTACATGGAAATCTATAAATATGTGTTGATTTCCTTAATAAACGATCTGTTGCCTGGCCCTTGTCTTCTGTTGTTACATTTTGTGTCGCTGCCTACCGACAAATGGAAAGCCTATGCCCTGCAGTTTTTGATGGAGACATATGGATCTTCGGGCAGGACTTCGAGGCTTCTGCGCAGTTGAGTGGTGTTCAAGATCTGTCAGCGATGAGGCTGTTACTTGGGACGCTGCTGGGAGGTCGGGAGAAAGCAGCATATGGAAATGCGAGGCGAAATACCAACGAATGTGCGACAGGGTCAGGCAAACAGTTTCCAAAGTGGGAAGGACCACATATGATCACGTTGAGATGGGGTTACGCAGACACAATCGCAATGGTAAACAAAGAGAAACAGGTGAACATCAGTGAGCCCCGAGATTCCAGACAGCAAGACAAACGAACAAAGCCCCAAGAAGACCGAACCAACTTCAGTCGCAAGTCTTTGATGGGGGGGGTAGAGTGTGGTGAGGGCTGGCTGCTAGCCAAAGTTGGTAGACAGTAATTGACGTCAATGTTTATGTCCCCAATATTGGTGGTGAGAAAATGAGAACAAAGGCTTTGCGTAGGCGGATACAGTTAGCATATGGATGATCTGACACAGCCCAAATACTTTCTGTGAGAAACAACCAGTCAAAAGACTGTATTTTCTACTAACAAAAATCTACAATAATGTACATTAAAATGTATAAATATGTGTTGATTTCCTAAATAAACGATCTGTTGCCTGGCCCTTGTCTTCTGCTGTTACAGTAGTAGTAGTAGTATTTTCTAGATGGGACATGAAGATATCAGCCATTATTATTGTTGTTGTTGTTGTTGTTGTTTTCATCTATGCTTTCTGGTATGAAAGTGAAATCGATACTAAGTGAATTTATTCCCACTAAAGGAGGAAAGTTATCCGTCCATATAACGTTTTTAGGGCGATAGTGTTCACACAAACACACACATAGAGTGACAGTAATTCTTTTCTCTCCCATATTATCGAAATATAATAATAATCTTTGTATCTTTGATTTTTTTTTTGTTGCTCTCCTTCTAGTTGGCTAAATTATGCCGTGAATTACGTAATTTCAATACAATGTTTTGTCTACTAGTCGGACTACACCAGACGTGTGTTGAACGATTGAAACAGACATGGGAACGTCTACCAAATAAATACCAGAAAATCTATCGTGACTTGAGTGTAAGTTTGCCTTCTTCTTCTTCTCTTGTCCTTTTTTGATGATGATGATATTACGTAATCTTCCCTACTTTCATAATTTTATCCAGTTGTCTGTTTTGCTCAGATGAATGTATTATACATCCTGTCGGCGAGTCTTCAGGTTAAAAATGAAGGAATTGATGAATAAGTTAACTTCAGAATGGAGTAGCAGTGCTTGCTAACCAGTTTTTGACTACGATTTAAATACTGGATGGCTATTTCTCCTGTGGGTAGAAGAGCTCATCAACTACGAGAGAGCTGAATCACTCCAAGTTAATCAGAATTCTAGTTAGTATTCCATCTGGTCCAGCTGCTTTTCCAGCTTTCAGAAGCTTCATTGCATTCAAGACTTCAGTTGGTGTCAACTTGCAGTTGTGTACGTGCTGTTGTTGGTATTTCTGGACGGGTTGTAGGTGGTGGTCGGTTCAAGAGTCCTTTGAAGTGGTCCGCCCATTGTTTAATCTGTCTCTCTTCTTTGGTAATTGGGTTCCCTTGGCTGTCTTTTATAGGTTTCACTTGTGTTGATCTCTTCCCAGATAGAGACTTGGTTATCTGATATAGTGTCCTTAGGACCCTTTTGCCTGCTGCCTTCTCAGCTTCAGTGGCCAGGTTGTCGTAGAATTGTCTTTTGTCCTTCCTGGCACTCTTCTTCACTTCTTTGTCCAGTGCTGTGTAAGTTGAGTTCAGCGTCTCTTTCTCTTGTCCATCTTTGCATTGAATCATTTTCTCTTCCACCATTCTCCTCTCGTCTATTAGCTTCCAAGTGTCCGTTGAGAGCCATTCCTTGTCTTGTTTCTTCTTTCTTCCTAAAACCGTTGAACACGTTTCATTGAAAATTACCTTCAGAGAGTTCCAATGGTCTTCCACGGATGATTCCTCAGTGGTGCCACGTAGTGTTTCTTGTTTTGCTCTGACAGTTGCAGTGAAAATGTCCTGTGTGATTATGTCCTTCAGTTTTTGCGTGTTGAACTTGCATTGTGGCCTATCCCCAGCTATCCTCGAGGCTTTTAGCTTCACCTTGAAAGTTCCTTGTACTAGATAGTGGTCTGAACCCACATCTGCTCCTCTCCTCGCTCTTGTGTCCAGTAGGTTCCGTCTCCACTTCCTTGAGATTGAAATGAAGTCTATCTGGTTTTTGGTGTGTCCATCTGGTGAAATCCATGTTGCCTTGTGTATATCCCTGTGTTTGAACACACTGGCACCAATCACCAAATCATTGAAGGCGCAGAAGTCTGAGAAGAGTTCACCATTTTCGTTCATTTCACCGAGGGCCTCGCGACCCATGATGAGTTCTCTTCCTGTATTGTCTCCTCCCAGTTTCGCATTCATGTCACCCATCAGGATTTTGATATCGCTCTTTGGGACGTTGTCCATTACTGTTTGTAGTTGACTGTAGAAATCCTCCTTCTTCTCATGTTCTGAGACGTTTGTAGGTGCGCAGCATTGAATGATTGTAACCTTTTTTCCTTTTGAGTTGACCTTGGCTGTCATTATCCTGGAGGAGATTGGTTCCCACTGCATGAGAGCTTTAGCCGCTGTTGGTGACATCATGATGGCTACTCCCTCGGTGTGCTCGTGATCGTCCTCTGGGTGACCGGAGTAGATTATTGTCTCTCCAGTTGGTAGTTGGCACCTTTCGCATCCGTTCCATCTGCTCTCGCAGATTCCCAACACTTCCATTTTATATCTCCTCATTTCTGCGGCTACCTGAGCAGCCTTTCCAGTTTCGTAGATTGTACGAATATTCCACGTCCCCATCCTTATTTTTGCTTTCATCGAAAGAAGGTACATCGGCTGACTGGCTTCCCGAAGGCTTTCACCAGCCTGCGTCATTTCACTTCCCCGATTCCAGCGAAAAATAAGGTTATTGTTTGTATTTTTAGAATTTTGAATATATTTGTGCGTTGAAGTTTTAGTAGCAATTTGGTTAAGTTTTGGGGGTGGAGTTGGTAGCACCACGCCCCAACCCTCCCTCTTTATCCGGGCTTGGGAGCGGCTAGAATACTAGTGACCTAGTAATCTAGGCGATATAGCGTGGCGAGTATTTGTCCTCACACCCGCCCGACCTGCTGTACTCCAGTGGACTTCTCACTATTTATAGTGTCAAGTAGGTCATCGATTTTCAGTTATCGATGGATAGTCTTCCCGAAGGTGTGTTTGACAACAAGCGGACGCATGGTAAAACCAATGCACTCTCAGCCCCACAGGAGGAAGTGTGTTAATGTAGCCGATAGTGATAGCTTGTCCTACACGTGTGTTAGCTGAATAGTTATTTGGAAGTAAAGATTTGTCCGTTGGTTGGCAACAAATCATTTTTTATTGTGAGAGGGATTTTGAAAGCTGTTTTCAAAGAATTTCAGTCTCAGTATGACTTTTAAATTCGAGACTCGGCAGCACAATCACGAGGGTTTAATGAATATGGAAGATCGCAAAGATTGAATGCATTTACACCATTGTAAGTGATTTTGATACAAATCATCAATAGTCTGAAGTCATTGGTTCTTCGCATCCCGAGGATCTCAGCTGGCTAGTTTACACCTCCTCCCCTAGGTGGCTCAAGTCAATCGTCAAAGACTAGATAGATTGATAGCAGTTTTTGGTGTGACTACTTCTAACTCTTCTCCAACTTAAGCTTATATCAACTAACATTACTCGTCGAGGAAGGCGATTGCCTGGTAGGCTCAACACGTTTTCCCTAACCAATTCAATCGATTCACGGAATATACATCTTTTCGGCGATTTCATTCTCAAGAGCTGTACAATCGCATTTATATACATTAGTTTACATGGATACAATTATTATTATTTAATTCCACATAGTAACGAGGGTGGTAATAATTTTCAACTTGATATGAAAGTTTGAAGGTACGAATATAGATTACGAGGGGCTTAGAGACAAGATTGCATAGGATTAGATAACAGTTACAACGAATGCAAAATTAATATTTGATAACTGGAGAAATAATAATTTTAAAGGCGAATAAAAGGTGACAATTGTTTTCAACTTGATATGAATTACAAGAGGCTTAGAACGAATTGCAGGTGTGAACGAAATGAGCATGGAAACAAATTGAAATCAAAATTTTCAACTTGAAATGTAAGTTAGAAGGTGTGAATATAGATTACAAGAGGCATAGAAACAAAAGATTACACAGGATTAGAATATAATTGTAAAATGGTTATTCTAAACGGATTACAAGTGTGATCAGGAGGAGCACGGAAACAAACTTACAATAACTGATTTTATAACTGAAAACAGAAATGGGATGAATTGAATGAAGACAAAGAGAGAAAATTACACACAGAGAGAGAGAACAAAACAAAAGACTGAAGGATAATTGAACATACGAACTAGGTCCACGGTAGTTGTAAAGCCTGGAAAGTTTCTTTTGAACACATAGCTCGCTTTCGATGATATGGTGAGAGCTTCCGCAGTACAAAAAAGTCGGAAGCACACTGTCTTCGGCAGATTTCTGTTTACTTTTTAGATGACTCTAAATGATGAGTCGGTTGAGATTCTGTGACACGTATTGACAATTCACGGAATATACACATTGGATCATAGGAATTATTAAAAAGACGGTTGCAGCGAGAAAAAAATTTTCTTTTCGACAAAGTCACCGTCAACTAGGCTGTACATTCGTGTATTTATAATAAACGGGCGAGAAAGTTCCAGAATAACTTCCGGTCAAGGGTCAAATTAATAAAATTACAATTAGGAATTAAAATGCCATAATAAACAGAGGTGGGGGACGGATAAAACTCTCAAACAAAGTAGCATCATAATTAATGAGAAGATTGACATATTGTGCAATTAGGGGTTAGAAAATACAACAATAGAAGGATGTTTGGATAAATACTAGTGGTGAGAATAATATTTATCAATCAGGGATTAAATATGTAGGAATAATAAAATGACAAAATAGACAGGAAGTTTGGATATGAAAATATGGTAGTGTAAATAGGGATTAAGAAAAACTTCAAAATAACATGAATAAACAGGAAGTTTGGATAAGAAAGGCAATGGGATAGTCACTACTAAAAGAATTACCTGTGTTATGATGACTATGGCAGGAACGAGGGTTGGACGGATTTCTTTTGGATACGCGTAGCGTGGGTTTGAGATTTTGGATGTCTGGTGCCTTGGCTATGCCCAGATGTCTTAATTTTACTCCCTTTGATAGGTTTGATCGAATCTTGTATATTATTTTGAAGGATTTTTCGAAAGGCGCTGAATGTCCTGAATTGACCAGATGTTCTGTCACTGAACTATATACACGTTCAATCGATTCACTTTAACAACCTGAACGATTGACTTGCTCTACTTACCGAGCACTCTACGCGGCCTAACCTCATTATCACTCATGATTTTACATCAATGTTTTTTGGCTCTTCGTCAACAGATTCGTTGGTGTTTATATTTTCTGATCCTTAAGGAAAGAGAGTCGATGAGATTCCTCCTCTTTCTGCTTATAGAAGAATAGAACTTTGTCCATTCCATGTAGGCGTTTCTTTCCACTTGAATATCAAGTCAAATACTTGAAACCAAAAATAAGCAAATGAACAAGGAAAGTTTTTGATAGCAACTTCTTGGCCCGTGAAAAAAACTGGAAAAATGACTATAAAAGGGGAATTATGATAAAACAGCTTACACCTTCAACACTTGACCATAATAACATTTTAAGCAAGACTGTAATAAGAAGAACAGAAAGATGAGTATTTGTTTGTAGGGATTTGATTGATTGATTTCAGGATTTCATCATGAGCTGACATTAGTTAGAGAACCATTGGAAAACCTGAGAGTATTGGACAGTTGTTTCATCCTAGTTTGAGACTCTTCAGCAGTACGCAACCACCGGGGTTCGAACCCAGGACCTTCTGGTTACAAGGCCAGCTCGTAGACCATTCAGCCACTGGGACCCGATCCAGTAGCCCATGAATTCTAACTTCTGCCAATTCACGACATAGTGCAACCGCTAGCC